AGCCTGTTCTACTCTTTCAATACTGTGTTGACGATTCTGGGTCTTTTTCTTCCTACAATCTATAGGAACAGTTTGTCAATAGCCACAAAATAAATTGTGGGGAATTCTGATTGGGAAGAACTGACATCTTGATAATATTAAGTTTTCCTACTCTTGAACATGGAATGTTTCCCCATTTATTTAGTTCTTTATTTTTTCAGAATTTCATAGTTTTCTTCATATAGATCTTGAACGTATTTTGTTAGAATGATACCTAAGTGTTTCTTTTTATTATTGATGTTAATGTAAATAGTATTATGTTCTTAATTTTAAATTGCTGGCATATAAAAAAGCAATTGACTTTTGTATATTAACCTTGTATCCTGGCTGGGTATGGTGGCTCACTCCTGTAATCCTAGCACTCTGGGAAGCCAAGGCAGGTGGATTGCCTGAGACCACTCTGAGCCAGAGGGAGACCTGGTCTCTAAAAATAGCCAGGCATTATTGCAGGCAACTGTAGTCCCAGCTACACGGGAGGCTGAGGCAAGAGAATTGCTTGAGTCCAAGAATTCAAGATTGGCTCTGCACCTGTAGCTCAGCAGCTACGGTGCCAGCCACATTCACCAGAGTTGGCAGGTTCAAATTCAGCCCGAGCCTGCCAAACAACAATGACAACTGCAACCAAAAAATAGCTGGGCGCTGTGGTGGGCACCTGTAGTCCCAGCTACTTGGGAGGCTGAGGCAAGAAAATCACTTAAGCCCAAGAGTTTGAAGTTGCTGTGAGCTATGATGTCACAGTACTCTACCCAGGGCGACAGCTTGAGACTCTGTCTCAAAAAAAGAAAAAGCGTTTGAAATTGCTGTGACTATGATGCCAGGATGACAAAGTGAGACTATGTCTCTAAAACAACAAAAACAAAAAAATAATGTTGTACCCTGCAACATTGCTATAATTGCCTATTAGTTCCAGGAAGTTTGCTTTGGTTCTTGTTTTGTCAATTCCTTTGAATTTTCTGTATAGACAGTGATGTCATCTGGGAATAGGGACCATTTGATTTTTTTACTTCCCAATCTGTAGATCTTGTATACCTTTCCATTTCTTTTCTTTTCTTTCTTTCTTTCTTTTTTTTTTTGTAGTCAATGAATACTTTAACAATTTCAGCCTTATGTCCTTCCCATACTCCCCTTCTGATTAGATTTATCACAGCCTTCCTGAGTCTTCATTATCCTCATGATTGGAAGTGACACCTTTGTTTATTAACTCTGATACTTGAATAGACCTTGATAGAGGGAGAATCACAGAGAAGGCAGAATCTGTATAACCAAGACTAGGGAACCATGACTACAAATATAACAGCTTTAATCAGGAGAAAGAGCTGGCAGAATTTTAACTATGACTTCCTTTTCATTTATT